GGGGGGCTTGCTACTGGTGAAAAGTGTATTTAGAGGAAAAGCTTGAGATGAGTTGTTATTTATTGTATATACCAGGAACTTAGCTTTAGGTCACTGCATGATATCTGAGTTTTCATGGCCAGGCAGGTGAATTAAACGAAGAAGAAAGGCAATGTCAATTACCGCTAAAATAAATAGCAATTGCCTCGGTATTTATAGAAAACCTTTAATAAATAGATATGATAAGATCTTTTCACTGTTTACAATAGTAGCTTAGCTCTTTAACTGCATGGAAACTGGAAAGTGATAGTTATTTACAGCTGATACAAAAAGCATAACTGTGGTCATGGTTTCACGTAATTACCATGATAAATAGATTTTGATTCCAACCAAGGGCTTTGACATTTTCTTTTCCCCTGTGTACCCTATCATTGTTCTTCTGCCAAGTATGTAAGAGTTACAAATATCAAATTTAGACAAACCTGTTGCCGCATTTCATCCACAGAAAGCAATCCAAGTAAGCCCCGGTCTCTACATGCTTGACGAAGTTCAGCTTCAGAAAGGGACTCCACACCCTCAGCTTGAATCATCTTATCATCATTCTTGATCCTGCCAGATTTAACAAGCTTAAAAGGCTTTAAGCAAGAATTTAACCAATTATTTAGAGATTCATGGAATTTCTTGTCCCCCTTTTTGGGAAATCCAAGTCCTCACATAGGCAATAACTTCTCTGCAAATCTTTTAAAGATCTAAACATGTATGTCTCCGTTTCATAAAGCATTAACAGTCGGATTTGATGGACATACTTCAACAATTTTTTCAAATCACTATATATAATTGGATAATTTCTAAATCAATTATGAAATAAGAGTTGGCTAATAAGGAAAAAACCCAACATTCTTCACAGGTCACACCATTAGTCTTCACTTATGAAGGTGCAGAAGAACAGAATTCCTAGAAATACCAAAAACAATTAACAAGAGATATCTTACTCTTGCAGTCTTCTCCGAAGCATATAACGTAGATATGCATCTGTTCCATATGGGCTGATACCCATATACTTGCACATGCTTACTAAACGAGGCCTGCATATAACAACAACCAAAGCAGCACTTTGTTAAATCAAGGGCAGTCTGAAAGGAAAGGACAAGATACTTTCAGAAATACTGATGTGACAGCAGAGATGAGGACCTGCTAATGTTATCCAAAGTAAGCTCATCATTGAATAACTTGGCAAAGCCTAAAATTTCTTCATTGGAAACACGAGAACCTGTCCTAACCTGTTTGGATGGCAGAATGAAACCTAACATTAGTTTGTGATACAAGAGTAGAAACATAAAGTAGATATCATTCTCTTGCTTGGAGGAGGACAAGGAAAAAAGTACCTTGTTCATAAACTCATCCAGATCTCCTGCTGTCTGCTTTGCTTCTCCACTTCGAGAGTTCTGGACTTCTTTTGCCATTTCTTTCACGGTGTCTTGAAGAAACTTAGCGTATTCAATTCTTGCATTTAGCTTTCTTTTCAATGCCTCCTACAAATCAAGCATTTAATATGGAACTGGGGTATGAAGGTAGGAACACCAACTCTTTTCCTACAAAACCATTTGATATTGTGACCATTGAAATAACAAAGCTCAAAGAGTGTATTTCTACCTGTTCCTTCATCTTGTCCTGGAAGGTTGATGGCAACATGTTGGGAAATAGTTTTAGGAATACTGGCAGCAAAAACTCCATGAATGGAACTATGATGAAAACAGCAAAAGGAACCAGCCTAAATATGTCAGCAGTAGTACGTGTTAGTTGTTGCCTTTCCCTTCTAGAAAGGCCCTTCCCACTGGCAAGTTTCACCAATAACCTCGAGCTAATCCTGACATCAGCCCAGAATAGTTTAGTACCCAACCAATAGTGTTGCATTGTAGACTTCAATTCATCCTTCCAATGACGAATCTTCTTAGCCCAGTCTTCCCTAAATGAAGAATAGATTGTCAATGTGTAAACAACGACTCAACTCAAACCAAAAGAAACAAGGAGTAGAATTTTTAACCTGCTCATAGCAGCGACGGCTTTCAAAGCCGGGCCAATCCCCAAAAGCTTCGCCCATACTTTCTGCATTACTGTTTTAGTGCTCTTTTGGGATTCATGAGCCTGCTTAGCCTTAGCCTTGGCTTTTACCTCGGTCAAATCTTCAACAGCTTCATCACACTCCTCCGGTGAAGCTTCCTTCGCCTGTTTGGCATCCAGTTGTTCATTTCTATCATTCCCACGGCCATATTCAGGTTGACCAGCAGTTGCTATTGAAGCATAACTTACAGACTGCAAATAACACCTAATGCCCAAAGAAGAATCAAAATCTCCATTTCCAATTCCACAACCTAAACCTGAATATCCAAAAGAGTTATGCCTAAGGAACCCTGCTGTGGCTAAAACCTTCGACACCCCATCCCTGGAAACCAATGACAAACCTCTTTCATTTCTACTATCAGTACTCCCGAATGGATGATTGACGATGCATCTCGATTCTTGCAGGTCATTTGATTGAGGCGGTCCTCGCCCGTACTGGAAACTCAAAAAACCCCCCCGAATCAGGCAATTCGGTTCCCTCAGGGAATCAAAGAGGGATCGCTTTCTCCGCAGGATTGCTCTCGAAGCCATTATTATTGCAAGAAATTTCAGTCTCTAGCAAGGCTTTAAACAAATAGTTTCATGTCCGATACACACACCTGACTTCGCCAGCCTGTAGTTCACAATATTAATACTAATTAAACATTATAAATAGATATATAAAAAAAGAAGTAAAACCTCATCTCATGTTACCCAGACAATTAATTTCTCAAATGACATTAGCTCAAGAGATAATACAAACTAACAAACCATAGCGATTATTTGATGAATAAAGATAAGATTAACCAGGAAATAGTAGAAACTAAATAAACCTAGCAACAGCTAAATGTTTCGATTCATACAGACAATTAACACATCTAAACAAATTCTAAGTGATGAACGATAACTGAATTTGATGATGGTCAGGTATTAAGCATGAGGATTTGATTTAAAATCATAGAACTAGAGAGAGAGGCAGGGAAGGAGTTTGACAGTTACCCTGGAAATCTTCAAGGAGTGAAAAAATGGAGTACAGAGAGTGTTTTTAGTTTATGGTGAGCTGGAATGTAGTTCGGGAGGGAGGGAAGAACATGCTGTGCCTGTACCGCCTGGGCTTGGGGCGACAAATGGAAAGATATTCGGGTATATTGCAGTGCAGATATTAGGTTATATGAGTGGAGCCCATTTGTGTTGTATTGGTTGGATTGGTGTTGTTTGCAGTTATGGGATCTTATAGATGGGCTTGAAGCCTTGAACTGTTGAATGGGGTGATTCGGAGGTGAGGGAGCGTGGTCAAATATCTTGGCAATAATAATTTAATTAGTCAAAGAAGATAATGTATAATAATAATAATAATTTACAGTTATATATATATAGGGGGGGGTGTTTATCCTACCCTCCCCACAAAACATTACTTATTGTCATAGCATTTTATCTTCTTTTCCAGTTTTTTTTTTTTACACAGTTTATACTTTATAAAAATTAATTATATCTTTCAATATTAAATTTATCAAATAATAAATTTTATAATTTTTATAAGATTATCTTATTTTTATGACATGAACAGCATGTTTTATGGATTAACTTAATTAACTTATTTTTTATATGTAGTTTTATCATTTAGAATTTAACTGATTGAGAACTAGATTTCATGGTTTGTTTTGTTATTTTTTTACAAGGTTATCTTTATTTCATGAATTTAATTGTGAGTTTAGTAAGTTAATTTTAGTAATTTTTGTAATTCATTTTTCAATTTTAATTTTATCTTTTAATATTGGATTTGTTAAAACTTGAGCTGTATATTTTTTTAATTTACTTTTCATGAGTTTATCTTATACTTATGACTTGAGTCACCGGTTTGGCGGATTAATTTAAGTTAACTTGAGTTGTTTTTTATCATTATTTTAATTAATTATTTTAATTTTATCTTTCAATACTAAGTTGATTGGAAATTCAAATTCATGCTTTATTTTACTTTTATTTCTATTAAGTTATCTCGGTCTCATGATTAAGATCATGAGCTTATCAAATTAACCTGAATTGACTGCAGTTATTTTTTGTCATATTTTAAAATTATTTTTTAAAATTTTATTTTTCAACATTGAATTTATTAAAAATCAGGTTTCATAATTTATTTTAATTTACTTTTCACGAGGTTATTATAGTTTCATAATTCAATACATGTACTGACAAGTTAAACTACATTAATTGTAATTAATTAGATATAGCACATATTGATTTTTAAATCATCCAGTATGTTATTGTCTCAATATATATATATTTAGGTTGTTTTTTAACTTTCACCAAACCAACCGGGTTACATTTAAATAATTTTTATACATTTTTTTTTCACTAAAAAACATATTAACAACACTAAATAAATTTTCACGCATTAAAAAAATTAATTTAACTCGTAGCATGTCACAGATGTAAGCATATTTAGCACCTAGAAGATATGGGGTGCAATGCAACTCCTTCAATCTCATATAAATAGAAATGTAGTGTCATTTTTCTATCCCTTTCTTGAGATTTTAAAGTTGTTAAGTGGATTTTAACAATAGTATCGAAAATATCTCTATAATGTAAACATTTTTTATCATGTTTTTTTTAAAAAAACTATACTCCTAATCTAATCTGTGTAAATATATGTGTGTGTGAAGACATAATACAGTGTTATGGGATGAAAATGGATTTGCATTGGATTTGGCTTTTCATAAAAGGAACCCTGGCCAGCATTTCTTTTAAAACTTGAGTTTATTTCTGAAATTGAAACTTTTATGAATAAAGAAAGTTAGAATCCGTAAATTAAGTTAAAAAATTTAACTTTTCATATAATCAAAATTTCAATTCAAATTTATAACAAGAATCAAAAGTTATTTCTAACCACATGTTTATGATATCTCTCTAAATCAAAAGCTAAAACTTAACTTAAATTAATTTATAAAAATCATACTAAACTGAACTAACTCAAAATTTTAATCTATGAAGTTTTTTTGGTAGAGCTGACAAGAGGCAAGTTAATTTTCTTACACTTTAATCGATTGTGATTGTCTTGGTGTGAAGAAAAGGATGAAGAGATATATGGCATCATGTTTAAATAAACAACACTTGCTGCCGTTAATTAAAGCATCCTTTATAATTTGCTCTCAACCGCAGTTTTGACTGTGTTTTGGGATAAAAAGATGCCTATAATTTCTACTTGGACGCGCACTTCAAATAACTGTGTTGTGTCAAATCCATCATTTATACCTTCTGTTTTGTATGCAGTTGTTGGAGAGCTTTGAAAAGTCCTTTCCTACACTGTCTTTTCCGCCTTTGCCTGAATGGGGAGACTTTGAGTTGAGGCAAGTGTTGGAATCACCTTATTTCTTCAACTGATTCAGTGGAACGGGTCCTCTCTTTGCTACACTAACATGACACCAATCTTTAATGGGTGTCACTCACTCTTTGTTTCTTGTCAAGCATGATTATGGAAAGGCGTGATCTAATGAAAACTTCCTGCAAGAGACTAGCCTCACTTTTGTATATAATATCTTGAAAGAGATCATCAAGCATTGGAGATCTTCGATCAGTCTCTTTTCCATTGACTCAGCTCTGAATGCTGTTGTATAGCAAGCACAGATATTTTGTGGTGGGTATAGGCTTCTCTGGGGTTCTTGCATTGAACAAAGGGTGAATGAAGAGATAGCAAGATTATAGGGGCTCAGGACAAGGTGGCTTCATTGATTTTTGAGAATGATGCAGAGCTTCGTGATTTTGAAACGTCCTTCGACTCCAGGAATGGAGAGAGAGTATGAGGGCCCATGGTTATGTGCTACGAAATGCTGGATGCATATGTTTCTGCCTTGACGGATTGGCATGTTATTATACCGCCATTGATCCTTGTCGCCCACACTGAAAATGTAATGTGAATAATCATATTATTGTAGTTTCTATGTAATGGTTGGCAACTTGGGATGAAAGGTTTTTTTGACCAGCGAAAAACAGGCCTTCGGGTGTACAGAAATGAAGCGGAGGCACAAGAAATATTTCAACAAAAAAACCAGGGTGGTTTTGTGAACTACCATTTGATGCTAAACTACCCCTAAAGTTCATTTGGTGAAAGTTAGTCAATTTATGATTCAAATGAAATCTAACTCTCCACTAGCATCATCTTTTAGTTTTTGTTGTGAAGGTAATTCCATGGTTTTTTTTCTGTCCTTTCCTCCTTTCCTTTTTTCTTCCTCCTGATATATGTATTTATAATACAAGAGTCTCATCCCTTGCGAGAAGTAAAGTCTCAATCAAACTTATTTTCTTTTCTGAAGTTTGAATTAGAATCGAATTCAAAAGCAGACAACTATCATTATCTTGAGGATTA